ATGTAACTTAGCCTGCTGTTGGTGGTGCTACACCTCCCTCTTGACTGAAGATCTTTACAGAACGTAGACATGCCAAGGTCAGTAGGGCAGGGGTTCCCCTGCTTCTAGGGGTTCCAATCCACTGGCCAGCTGGGGAAGCAACACCCCCAAGCCACGGCCATGCCTCTCCCTCCCCTCCTGCAGATCTCAAGGGCTTCAGTTGATCGGTGGGGAGCACGTGGCCTGCTGTAGGCCGTCCTTTGTGTTATCATTTATTTATTTACTCCATTTATACTTTTTTTTCGGTTGATTGGTGGGGAGCACGTGGCCTGCTGTAGGCCATCCTTTGTGTTATCATTTATTTATTTACTTCATTTATACTTTTTACACTCTTTACTTTCCTGCAAAGATCCAAGGAAGCTTAAAACACCCCCCCTCTCTATTTCCTCTTCACAATAATCCTGTGAGTTAGGTTAGGCTCAGAATGTGTGACTTGACCAAGATCACTTAGCAAGCTTCCGTGGCAGATAGAGTTGCCAGGCCCTCCCCCCCCCACCTTGGCCACTGGCAGGGAATGGGGGGGTTAGAATGGTCAGATTTAGGTTGAAAAACTCCTGGAGATTTGGAGGGGAGGACAGGGACCTCAGTGGGGTACAATGCCTTAGAGTCCACTGTGCAAAGCATCCATTTTCTCCAGGGGAACTGATCTCTGTAGTCTGGAGATGAACAGTAATTCCGGGAGATCCCCAGGTCCCTCCCACCTGGAGGCTGGCATCCCTAATCCAGAGCAGAGATTCGAACCTGTGTTTCCCAGATCATTGTCTTGACACTTTAACCACTACACCATGCTGGTTATCAGACTGTTTAAATGCTGCCCCCCCCCTTTAAAATCAGCACTTCCTACAAGGTGCTCAAGCAACCTCCTCAGTTCTCCCATCCTCCACATTGCCCTCATAATAATTGTTTGAGGCAGGTTAGGCTGAGATTGTACAACTTGACCAAGGCCCCTCGGTGAGTTTCACAGCAGAATGGATATTTCAACCTGGGTTTCTACAGTTCTAGTCTGACACTCTAACTACTACACAATATTGCCGAACTCCTAGCCAGTTCCCTTACTGTTCTAGATTTATTTTATTCTGCCATGCCCCTTTAATTGTAGAACTGCAGCACCCACTCATGTTACAGTCACCCATTCCTCCTTATCCCCTTCTGTTTCAGACCACGGGCACCCTGCCTAGCCACTGGGACCTGAACTCGAAACAGCCAGGTGCCAAACGCCTAATATTCACTTAACAATCTACACATATTTGCCTGCTGCTGCCTTATGTGGCAAGAATGATGTTATACATACACAGATAACGCTAATGGACCAGAAGGAACAACAACAGTGACTGTACACTGATGGGGAGTATGAAACACTGGAGAGGAAGAATTGTTGAATAAACAGTTCTCTAAACTAGCTGAGGCACCATAAAACCAGTTATCAGGAGGTGAAGCCAGACAATCCTGGGAGAACGTATATATGGCATTCTAAGATAGAAGATAATTAATGAGTAGAACACACTACAAAGTGAGGAGTCTGATCCTTTGTCACTCACAAGTCTTCAAATTAAACCTTTTGGCCTTTTCAGAAAATGCACTTCAATCAAGGACAAGCTGGTGACACTGAGAAAATTCAATGGCACATGCTATGGAGCAGGCTAGGCTACATTAGGACGCTGGCTACTCCTTACTTTAAAATCCATGGACTAAACAAATAGTATTTTGCTTTATTGTCCTGTACTTCATCTTTTATCTGATAGTCCCTTGGTGCTGAAGAAGCCGGAGGAGGGAAGTCAAACTCGTCATCTGATGTTGCAGATGCACAGAAAGCCCTTAAACCCTCCTTTTTCTTCTTTGCTATTACAAAATAATTTTTGCCTGATGTGTTCCAAAAAAAATCAGGAGGAGGAGAGCACCGCTCAGTAGAACCAGGGTAGTATCTACATATCACTGGATGTTGCACTGTTGTAATAGTTCTCACTGGAGAAGACCCTGATGCTGGGAAAGATTGAAGGAAAAATAAGAAGGGGATGGCAAAGGATGAGATGGCTAGACAGCATTATCGATGCAATGAACATGAAATTAAGCAAACTCTGGAGGACGACAGAAGACAAGAGGGCCAGCGTGATGTGGTCCATGGGGTCCCGAAGAGCCGGACTCAACTGTATAACTGAACAACAACAATAGTTCTCTTCCTGAATTTTCTTGTCCAGACAGAATTATCCAGTAGATGAATTATTACAATAGCACAATATCCAAATATGTGTGGATCCTCAGCAGTAATACAGGAGTAAATGTATCCAGTATTTCTCCTGGAGTAGGCAGATCAGGAGCATGCTCTCAGCTATTTCTTACCAATGTAACAGTCAACATAAAGCACATTGTATGTAGGGAGGCAGTTGCAATTAAGTATTAATTTGCATTTCTTCTTCCTTCCCAACCCATAGGAAGAATGGAGAATTGGGCCAGAATTGACCTTGTGTTGGGTCCAGGAGCATGTCTCAGCAAATACATGACCTCTCCAGCTCATCTTGCTCTGTTCACTATGGGTGCAACACATCCACAATATGACAGATCCTGCTTTTATTTCAACGCAGACAACTCCAGGCTCTATCCCATGGGAGTCAGGATAATCCTGACTCAGATAAATGCGGGACATCTCTCAATTTAATTGTACTTTTCATCACAGATGCAAAATAGAAAGAGAGGAATATGCAAGCCTTGGACTCACTCCAAAATTTAACTTGAGTACAGCTCTGGAGGCCAAGTACCATCTCCCTTTTCTTTCTACTTTGCAGATCAAGCCTTGTGCAGATGTTTTTACTCTCTGTCCTTGCCTATGAAAACAGCTCCTGGGACAGTTGTATAGTTGTTTTTCCCTTCATATTGACTGGGAGAATAGAGAGCAAGACTGATGGTTCTTGAACCACTGACTAATTTGCACTGGTACCTTGTCACACAAACACATTACAATGCTGCAGCTTGTCCCTTGCGCTGATGTACACACCAAAATTATGGGAGTGGTGGAAATTATTATTCAGACAGTTGCATCCAGCAGATTCCTTAAGCAAATTCCTTAGAGCCAAACATATCCAGTAGAAAACAGATGCTAAACTCAATTTGCTATAAACATACCCAAATGCCCACTAGGAAAGGGAATTTGCAGGTGTCACTGGCATTACCTTTGCTGCTTTGCTCTGCAGAAACCTTCATTTTCAATAAAGTGCAGCAATAAAGTGCAGCAATAAGAGCATTATTGTTTTAAAAGGGGTACCTTTCAAAGATTTTAGGTGCAAGTCGGAAATATTCCAACGCATTTCCCCATTCAACAGAATGACAAAATTCAACAGTTTAACCCTGAGAACCAAAGAAGAAGCCATTTGAGAGAAATCTATGGAAGTAGTCCCTGCTAACAAATTCAGGAATGTATTTCCACAAAGGAGGCTGCAGGTGCCCAGCATTCATACAGGCAAATGCATAGAGTCAGTAGATTGCCTTGGTTTCTAACATGAGCTCAGGTGCCTCATTTAGCCATCAGGATTGGATGGTTTTAGTCTGAAATGCTACAGCCTTCTGTATTGTTGCACCCTGGGTTAAAAAGCAGTATGCTTAAGTTGTCTTAGTTCTTCTTCCCCTAGCCCATCTGCTCAGCCAGTGCCGCTCGAAAGCCAGCCACCAACAGCCATACAAGCTTGCCAGCATGCTGCCCACAGCATATTGAAAACCAAAAGCTCCTGACAAGTAGGACAGTGACAAAGCCAGCCTGTTATTTACATACTGCAGTTCCGGGATTGTGGCAAACAGCATCCAGAGTGTTTACTACGTGCAATCACTTTTTACAATGTTATGCTTTCAAGTCAGTTCAAAAAATATACTTTTTGTCATATTCTATTTTTAAAAAGTACTGGGCAAAAATATTTTAGGTGATATCCATGTTGCTAGGGTTTTACCAGGATTTTTTTTAAAAAGAAAAAAAAATCTAACTTCATTGCATTTCATTTTATGTGATTAAAATTTTTAAAAAAACCCAGTATTTGCTACTGATGCTTGCTTATGTTTATAAATATCTGTGTCCTCAGAAAATGTGGAAGGAAAAAGAGAGCTGTAAGTTCTTTTTTAAAAGAGGCAATGAATAACTTCCTCAAAACGAGTTATTTAAGATACTGCCAAGATAAAATAACTCAGTCAAAGTGAAGCACTTTTACTCCATTGATTACATGTGCCCAGATACTATGGAAGCCAAAGGGCCTTAGAAGTGCTTCACTCAGAGTAAATAGTTGAATGGGGTGTGGCGAGTGATTCATAAAAAGTAGATTTGTTAAAATGGTATTAGGAGGACTGTGGAAATCACAGACAAGCATTTTTAAAGTAGGAGGCAATAGGCCGAAATCTAATGCTTTATCAGATTTTTTTTTTAAATTCTTAAGTGTTAAAAAAATCTAAATAGGAAAATTATATCTAAATTCCATTTACTGGAACTCCGTGTGTGCTCCTGTACACAACACACCAAATTTTCCTCCTAGCGACCACATATTAAACAGTATTATTTTAAAAAGCTAAGTTTTAAAATAAAAGAACCGCATGACTTTCTATTATGTATGTACATAGCAAGTAACATTTTCAAAGGTGTTAAAATATTTTTAATACAGACGCTAGTGCAGAAATCAGAGAGAATGACAGAGAGACAGAGATAAGAAATGTAAACAGCTACCACATGCAAGGAAACTAGGTTACAAGCATCACAGCACCAGGCATCCACCAATCACCAGGGAAAACAGGAAGTGAAATGCATAGCAACCACAAGCCCAAAAGCAGAAAAGCGCATACCTTTAGCTTGGAATGAAAATCACGAGATTTCCTTCTGGCAAGAACCTGAATGTGACTAGACACCTGCAGGGTAGGGGAAGGGAGGGAAACAAAGGAAAAGCCTGTAACCATGGAGATGAAAAGCCCCCTACAACTGGGCGAGCCAAACATACCTTAATGGCGGCTTGAATTTCTCGAACTTTCTTCCTGGCTAAGACCTGTATGTGACTAGACACCTACATTGTTCAGAGTTATAAAATAAAAAAAAGAAAAGAGAACAAAAAAAAAAGAAAAACACAAAAGAAACACACAAAAATCAAATACAAAGTATCTCTTAGTTTAAAAAAATAAAATAAAAGTTTAGGAGAGCAAGTTATTTGCACCTTCAGTACGCTTTGCTGTTAAAAGACCACATCCCCAGCCATTTAGCACAGAAGTTGACAATCATCACTGCAGTGACCTGATTGTGAAGAAATACAATTAAACTGCTCAATTTTTGTTCCTATCAGAGTGAAACTGGTGTTCTGCCTGGAGTTAGACAAGGATGATGTGCTCTCTTCTTACACCTTTTTTTAATGGGGGGAATGACTACTGTCTTTTCAATAAAGGCATGTCATAGTTTTTCCAGAACTGAACAAAAGAGGATTTATTATATCGAGCAACAATACATGAAATTATAACAAATATATTTGGCCCAAGTCACATTGTTGACTTTTGTCAGTAGCTCTACTGTAACTGATGAAGTAACACATGTTTCTGCACAGTATGTGAAAGAACACTGAAAATGTTCTCATAAACTAGGGGGAGGGTGTCTGTGCGTGTGTCTTTTGGCTGCACTGTGTATATAATATTATTTCACAACATACCAAAGAAAAAAAGGGGAGAAAGTTACTTCAAAAAGCCAACACAGTCAAATAATTATGCAGCACCACAATTAAAGAAAATGATCATTACATTTCATTTTATCATATTCATACCCTGCCATCTCTTCAGTGGCATACAAAGGGAGTATCTCAACTTTACAACAATGCTGAACATAGGTTAGGGTGAGAAAGAGTGCAGCTGACCCCAGAGCATCCTGATATCTTTATTGCACAGTGGAGATTCAACTCAAAAGTCCCCTGTCCAAGTCTGAAACATAGATAGCTGAAGACTAACACACTATTGCAAATTACACAAAAGTAAGCACTCACTATATAATTACACAGGTCATATGAAAACAACTGATATAATGAAATCATACAGGAAGGCTCACACTTCTAGTAACGCTCTTTTGAGAAATACAACCATTCCACTAGACTGCTTCCATACTTCTTGTAATAGTGTGTGTTCATAATGCAGAACAGAGCTCCAAAAATAAATATGCATCCAGTTTTTAAGAAAGAAAATTAACAGATGTAACATAACCGAGTAGTTAAACTCAATTCAACTTGTGGGGAAAGTCACAGTATATGTGCACTGCTTGGGTATGTGGGAACTTCGTCTGTGCACCAGAGTTCCTGTGGATTTCAGGAGTCCCTGGAATCTTGCCTGATTCTTGAGTGCAACCTGCACAATAATACTTTGACTTTAACCCTTTTAAAAATAAAAGCAAAGGGAGTTGCACCTCTAAAAAACCCCAAATACAATGAAGGATATACCAGTGGCTGCCAATTAAAGTGAAAAAGAAGTCAGGGCCACACCAGCAGCAGAAGAAGAAAAGAAAAATCAAGGTGTTGAAAGAAACTTTTTATTGTTATTCTTTCTTGATCCCAACATGTTTCACCTATAGCTTCCTCAGCATGATTGCTCAAGGTATGATTGGAAGCTTGTGTTATGAAAGTTCCCCTGAAGAAGCTACAGGTGAAACGTGTTGGGATCAAGAAAGAATAACATTAAAAAGTTTTTTTCAGCACTTTGATTTTTCCCCCTTTTCTACTGCGGATTAAAGTGGGCAACAGCTGAACTAAAAAAAAGACTGCATTCCTCACCATATCCAAGTGTGTTTTCCATGCAAGAGATGCTTCAAAATGGATTCCCAGGTATTTAAACTGATTAACCTGTTCCATAGACTGGCCTGCTATAAAGCTTCTGAAGATTTCCCCCCTTTTCCTTTAACTAAATACTATGACCTTCGATTTCGCTACATTAATAGGCAAGCATTTGCAGGTACAGTAATACTCAATTTTTAAAATCAGTTTGTGGAGTCCCACTACCAATCTGGACATTATCACTGCATCATCAGCATATAAAAGGATCGGAATTTCACACTTGGATAGATAAAGTGTTAATTGCTAAGGCTGTGAAATAATGCAATAAAGCTTATGATTGACTGATCCCCCCCCCCACCTGAGAGTGAGCCTCTATTTCAGGGGTGGGGAGAATAAGGGCATCTCTCCAATAAATCACTTTTGAAAGTTGTTAGCAGGAGATAGAAATGATATGAAATAATTTTTAATCTTAGTGTGTGTCCTAGAAAAAAATCCGTTTCCTCTCCATGGACTTGAAGAACTGAAACACGATGTAGCTTGTGTCACTTGTAAAAAGATCCTAAAGATCCTCTAAACATTTTCACAGTGCTGCCCATACTACTGTTTTCAGGAACATCATGGCAATCATTCCTAGATATAGAAGTAATAAATACAAAAAGTGTGTGTGAAAGTAAAATTCTGATTCCCAAGAACTACCATTATAAGAAAACTTGACCAATCAATCACACTTGCAAAGACTGAGTTTTGTTGTTACCACCAGTCATACAAAATCATAGCTAAAAGTAAACTGGACTAAGGGTAAAAATCTGATGACCAGAACCAATGTTCCCTCTAAGCTGTGAAGTCTTGTGAGCAAAAATTCCACTTTGCGAGCTACTGGCATTAAAAGTTGTGAGCGGGCGATGTGGCTACTGCATAAATCAGTTTAATCTGGAGCCCTCCTTCCTGAGCTGAGAGAAAAACGTGTGAGCCAGAAGCTAAGAAACTGTGAGCTAGCTCACACTAACTCAGCCTTAGAAGGAACACTGACCAGAACATATTCTGATTATAGCCAGAAGCATAATCTAAGGTGTGCTTTTGGATTGGGCTACTAGTCTACTGTTTTATCCTGATTCATTCAGTTTCTCGCATTCTTAACATCTATTGTACTTTGGTTTCTTCCAAACAAAGAACTTTACCAACAAAACATAAATGGCTGAGTATGAGCCACTGGCACAGGGCCATTTCTCCCCCCACACGCACACTCTTTTTGCTGAACTGGCATTACTTTTCACGGTGCCACAAAACAGACACAGCATGCCTGTACAGGAACTTCATCTCTTATCCTAACACACTAATATAAAATACATGACATCTATACATGAGGAAGCTGGAGTTTAACATGCAAAAGGACAGTGTAAGTGTAAGGATACCTTTTAGTGGAAAGTGATACAACATCATTCTGCTCCTCCAAAGCTCAAGACTGGATTGAGGAAGCTGAAATGGTGTCCACCAGGGGTCTTGTTGTAGAAAAAGAGCTGCCGGAGCTCATTAGCATAACTCATTAGCATAACTTATTTGCATATGCCACGCCCCCTGACATCACCGGAAGTGACAGAAGGCCACACCCCCTGACATCACCGGAAGTGTGTCAGAAGGCCCGGCTACTTACCCTCCTGCTTCATCCTCATTCCCAAACGGAATGAGGATCGAAGCAGAGGGCGGGGTAAAGAAGGGGGCGGGGCTTCACCACGTGACCGCCCCGCCCCCTAGAGGTTCTCTTCCGGAGCTCCGTACCTGAGAGCTCCCCCCCGACTAGAGCCCTGGTGTCCACAATTCATTCCATAAAGAATTTAGGATGGGTGGCTTCCCATGTGCATGCTTCATGGTGTCCTGACACTGTTGTGGGCAGTGTTTTTGCTGACTCAACACGAAAACACAGACCTTTGCACCTTCTGCATCTTATCTCAAAAGTTGTGTGATATAGCAAAGTTATCTTGTCAAACCATCCCTTGTTATACTGGGAGGTCATTTGGCATCAGAAGGGAGCAAAAACACTTCCTCTCCCTCTTCTGCAGAGCATGTGTTATTTCTGAAGTGGGTCCTGACTTTTCTGAAAATAGTGGGTCCTAATGGCCCTACTGCAGAAAAATTTCCACCCCTGCCAATAACAGAGTCCAACAGGGATGGAACTTCAGAGTTCTTTAGCAATCATTGTAAAAGTGTGTTTCTCAGCATATGGGTGAAATATAAGCATCAATCAGAGGAAAATTAGGGATGTTCCATACAGAAATCTTTTGACCAGATTTCCTATAATCAGCAAGGTCCAATAAAACGCTCTCTTTCCATCACAAGCCTTTTGAAACGGTCTTTGAATACTGCAAACCTATGCAGCAACCTTATTCAATTCAAACATTAAATTAGCTCTATGAACATGTCAGGAAATTGCTGCATGGTACTTTTTTCAGAACAACCAAGTGACTGAATTTGAATGGAGAAGATTTTCAAAAGCCCTGAATCATGGGAACCATAAGTACAAAATAATCAGTGTTGCAGCAAAAATTCAGCTGCTATACCACCGATGTGTGTACCTAGTATCATGACTGCACAAATACACTTGATCAGGAAGCTAAAATACCTTTGAAAGCATCAGGTATTTTGAATACAGTTATATAACAGTTTAAAGCAATCCTGTAATAGTTAAAAAATATGAGTGAAAATGATGGAAATTATTACAGAGACTTTAAGACTACAAAGATTGCTTGAAAATAAAAGATTCTAAACTCGTTAAGAGACATGAAAACAATTTATGGCAGTGATCACAGGATACAGGGTCATTCGTGTAAGGATACAAAAAAAATCCTCAACATTCTGGTGAAAAAAAATTTCTCCCAACTCTCAATGATGGTTTTGTGAGGGGAGGGAGTACAGTGGGCATCTGGGCAAAGGGGAAGCTCATAAAAATAGATTCAGTGAACTCACTCTGATAATGGAATTATTAGACCAACATGGCTGTTATTAGTCTAAGTGATGCCCAGACAATTCTAAGCCATTCCTTCTTCTTAACCATTCCTCCATAGGTATAAACTATGGGGGGGGCCCCCTCGGGGGGCTGGGCCTCCCCCGAATTTTTCCAGGGGTGGACTAAGCCTCGCCGGGCAACCAGTCACCCTTATGAATAAGGCAGAAGCAAGACTCCTGAAAATGAACGTCCAGGAAAACTTTTAAAACGTTCCCCTACAGGCTTTTCTGTGTTGCCTTCTTTACTGTCAGATTTGTGACCATTTGTTTGTCATATGCACATGGTATGTATACTTGCAGATCTTAAAGTGACTATTCCAAAAGTGAATCTTAAAAAAAGGACACAGTAGGAGACCGCCGAGATACCACTATAACCATAGGCCAACTCCCACCTTTTCCTGAGTTTAGCCCAGCCCAGGGGCATCATGGGCAGGGGGTTCCCATGGGTTCCCAGCCCCCCCCTAAATTTCTGGGGAGCCCCTTCATAAATCCCACATGGCTCCGCCTCCATAGATAGCGACAATGGCCTGTGAGATCACTGGCTCCTCCCTATGATGTCACTGGGCCTCAATTCTTTTAAGGACCTAGCATAGCAACACCTCTGGCCCAGCCCCAGCCGCCCCCCTCCTGGGAAATTGGCACGTCTACACCCCTGTATTCCTCTATTTTTTTTTCAGGTTGTAATGCATGTCAGGATTTTCCATGCAGTGTTTTTAGAGTAAGGTCTGACTTACAGGGCTTTCTTTCATTCAGCAAATTTAGAAGAATTCACAAAACACGGTATGTCGTTCTTCAATTTTAAAAACATACACAAACACCCAAATTCCAAACAATTACAATTTAAAACTCTGGATGTTTAAATCAATCTCAGCTTCATAAAGTGACAGAGCAAGAACTCATTAAGAAGGTATAATGAAAATTCTAACACTTCCTCATGACCAGGAAGCTAATTTATTCTTCAGAAAGTTATCTTAAAACATGTTTCTTTAATCAAGAGATGAGCCCATAATAATACTTGTACAGCAATGTTCTCAGTTCTGAGCACATTTCAGACAACAGGTTTGATCAAAGAGTAGTTTCTTTACAAAAAAACACTCTAATTAATTTATTCTGAAATGTTTCTGGGCTACTTTTCCACACAGGAGCTTACAGTTTCAATTGTATGGGTGTGCCAAATAAACTGTCACTGCAGTGATGAATAGCACAAACAGCAGCATTTTAAAGCAAACCTGAAACACTGAAAAGACAATGCAATATCTAACCAGAGCAGAAGTAAACTCAGCCACTACAGCCAGAACTTCTATTGTGTCATTCACTGACATGCATGGTTTTTCCTTCTGAAGGACTCTCTTACCTGTTTCCTGGTCCGTGTCTTTCCTGTTCTAAGTTTGATGTATCTGGCTATCAGTTCATTCCTACCTGAAACAATAAGAACTTACAATGAAAGCCAAAGCAGCAATTGAGAAAGAACGTTAAAAATGCATGATGTAGAAATCCTGACCAAATGTCCTCTGTAATCTCAAATCTCACATATTTTAGTTCTTTTCCCAAAACCTGAATTTCAGATTAAGTAACACAAAGAAACTAGCATGCAGAATATGACCGCAAGGAAAATACTTTAAATAAGTTTAACGGCACATCAGAGACCAAACCAACTGACAAGTCATCTACATGCGCATTTCCAAAATTAAGCAGCATGTTGTGAAGTCAATACAATCTGACTGTTGACAATGGCACTACTTTTCAAAACTAAAATGGCAATATGTAAGACCAGTGGTCCAGCATGCTGTTTCACACAGTGATCAACCAGTTGGCCTGGAGGTCCCACAAATAGGGCAGCCAAGATCTTCCCTGATGATGCCTATTAACATTGATATTCAGAAGTTTACTGTCTCAGTACATGGAGGATTCCTTATTCACTATAGCTAGCAGTCACTGATGGACCTACCCCTCCATGAATCTGTCTGATCCCCTTTAAAAACCCATCTGTTTGTAACCATCACTACATCCACTCAAATTGTGATTTCCACGATTTATTAATCTGTTGAATACAGACATTTTGTCTGTCCTGAATCTTTTGCCCATCAACTTTTATTGGGTACTCCCAAATTCTAGAATTACGGGAGAGGGAGAAAAGGTTATCTTTTAATTCTTTTAACTCCAATGTGAAAGCAAGAGAGAAAAAACAAAGATGTGCAGCCCTCCTTCCTCAATCCTCTGGATCAAAAAAGAAAACAAGAGTACATCTATCAGTACAAGTAAATCAAGTATTACACTTTGTGGGCTGCTAAACTGATACTGTGCCCAGAGGATGAGAGCAGTGTTCCCTCTAAGCTGAGTTAGTGTGAGCTAGCTCACAGTTTTTTAGCCTCTGGCTCACACATTTTTGTCTCAGCTCAGGAAAAAGGGCTCCAGAGCAAACTAATTTATGCAGTAGCTAAATCGCTTGCTCACAACTTTAAAGCCAGTAGCTCACAAAGTAGAAGTTTTGCTCACAAGACTCCACAGCTTAGAGGGAACATTGGATGAGAGACTGACAACTGATATTTTGCTCATTTCTAATCCTATCTATTAAATAAACTTGGAATCATCCCGGTTAATCAAGGCACTTCTCTCTTATGTTGTGGGGATCAAGGGCAGCTAGGGAAGGAATGAACAGTGAGATCCTGAACATTTCCTCGCCCAGCCCAGACAGTGGTAAACAGATACAACACTGTTTTCCTCAGACAGTCATGGACACTATGGAAAAGTGACACAAAGGTTAGAAGGAACTCCTTGAATAGGCTTGGACATTTTTTGTAAATCAGAACCAAGTAAATCAGAACCAGGACAAGTGTGACTGTCACTGCTTACTGTAGCCTCAGACCAGAGGCTGCCACTATGCTGGCAAAGCCTCTCCTTGGCTGCGTAACACTATTAAGTTTCTACTCACAGCAAGGAATTGACTTCTCCAGCATGCACTACATTGCTGAACCCACCCCTCATGGGTTCTCCATTCTGTCCTGCTTTGTCCCCAAGGTCTGTCTTCACTCCATTGTCCTTCCTTGTAGCCTTCGGAAGGCCTTAACCGCCAAGAAGTTCCCCTCCAATCTCTCTAGACTCTCTTCTTCTTCTTCTCTTCCTCAGGCACTGTATCCCTCAAGGCAGCTTCCTCCCCCTTTGCTGATCTCCCCATCGGCCTTTAAAGATCCTGGTCACTGGGTCAGATCCTGCCCTCTCATGACTGGTGGCCTGCCACTGCCAGCTCGGTCATTTTCACATCTGACTGAGCTGTGAGAAGCCTCATTCAACAGCTGAGCCCTGCGGGACCGCTCCTTTGGCCACAGTGAATATCATGCCGCCAGCACCCTAAAACGACTACGCTAGATGGACAGGGCAAGATAGCACCTGGGCAAATAAATGTTTTGGATTTACAGGTAACAACTGCATTATTTTGGAATACAGTGCTATATAATGTGTGGTTCCTCTGCCAGAGACAGACAGCACTAGAATTCTTAACTCTGGAGATACCTGGGTCAAATTAGTATTCTGCCACAAAGCTCCCTGGGCCAGTCACCATACCACTATTTAACCTACCACATCACCGCGAGAATAAAATGGAGATAAGGAACTTTATGCTTTTTAGACATTTTCTAAATTCTCCTTTTTGCTATCAGGATACTGTTATTGGTCCACAGAGATAATATTGGTAAGAATATCTATCTGTGGTCTTATTTTTGTTCTCTCAATGACCTGACCAAGCTGTACAGGAGACCTACAAGTCTGTTTGTGTCCAGTACTGCAGGTAACCATGTTATGTGCTCAGTCTTTCACACTCTCTGTGTGGTAACTCTCCATTATATAAAAAAGAAGAAAATATTGAAATATAAGCATAACCAAGAGTGTTTCTGGCACTGTTAAAAACAGGTGCAGGGGTCAAACTCAGGTTTGAAAGTAGATGAGTTGTGCCTTGATTGGGTGTACTACATTTTATTTCAATTTCAGTGTTCACTTGAATTATATTACAAACAAGCAAATGGAATGACAAACAAGCCAGTACATAAAAAGAGTTTACTTTGTTCAGCTGTTAACATTTGATCCAAGCAAAAGGGATAATAAAGCAAATAAAGCAATTTTTTTCACACACACACCCACACACACCCCTCCCACACAGATACCCTTTAAACCAGGTTTTGAAAAATATTGCCAATACCTAGGAAACAACATTCCTTCTTTTAGGTGTATAATGTTTGTAAAAGAAGTGGTAAAATTTTCTAGTTCTGTTATCAAATTTGTAGAAGTTTTTTAGATCTGCTTAATAAAAACATAACACTAAAATCTGTCCTTACCTCTAACTCATAATGCTTGAGGAAAGCCCTACATTTCCTCTGGAAAGATACACAGCCTTGGGCAAACTCAGCACCAAAACCTTAAATAAACTATAACTTCAAATTAATTCAGGGAAGTAAAAACAGAATTTTTGATCCTATTACAACTGCTTTAGTGTTAGTTTTTAATACAGCTTTTACTAGTAGTTGGATTGGTGGTATCAGAATGACTATTCCTTGCAAGCAACTTTACAAAAAGCATTTTAAATCAGCCTCAGTGACATCTGTATGTGCTACAACTTAAGTACAATTCCACATCCTGTGTTGAAGGGAGGGAGAGACACCTCTTGAACAGAGAGGGGGGAAAGTGGACATTTTAAAGCCAAATTAGCTAACAAGAAACCTCTTGTAGATAAAAGTCAACAATTGATTAAACCGTTTCAACCACCAAGTATAACACCGGCTATTTAAAAGCCACAAGCAAAATCTATTTTAAGCCTTTAAAAATATTATAGGCAGGTGTTAAGTCATCCCCATGGTGAGTTTTGAGAGGGGTCCCCTTAGTGAGTGGGTGGAGTGGGGGACTGGGCAATGCTTCCCTATCCAGGCAGCATTTTGTTCAGACAAGCTTACGGCAGAAGGTCATGTGACATAGGCCAAATAAACAGCATCTGGGGATTTTCAATTACAGACCTTCACCCAGCATGCCTGCACTGTAATCTCTACCAGATGAGGCTCAGGCCTCACTATTTTCAATAATTCACACACTGTGTACACATAACATGACAATAAGGGCATTCATGCAACCGCCTGATTCGCACATCAAAGCTCCCAAATGGCCAGCTGTAAGCATGCTTACTGCTGAATAATTCATTCTTTTCACAGGCTTGAAAAAACGCTCAGCAGGACTTGGCAAGCTTGTGTTCTTTCCTGTGTGGTATGCTAAACTCAAATTTTGAAAGAGGTACAGCCCCACTTAAAAAAAAAAAGGAGATCCAACCATTTAAATGCACATTTGCAAGGATTCAAATGGCTCTAAAAAAACAAAACAGTCAACTGAACGAGCTACAATTCCAAATGAGGGAATGAAAGAGCTCAGGGAGAGAGTGCAGATACAAAACACTCATGTTTCTAAGGCAGGTGTTTAATAAAAAAAAAATAAAACAGCTTTTCTACTGCAAAACTGTCTCTTGCATAAATCACATATACAATTTTTTTTCAGCATTAACAGATGCCTAACGGTTTACAAGTTCAGCAAACTTAATTTCCATCTAACTAGTATTTGTTCTACCACAGTACCATAACGAGTAGGCTTTGTACAAAGACCTCCGTTACTTGAAAAAAACTGTAAACACAATGACAATAAAGCCAACTTGGATAGATGAATCTTTAGGTTTGGGTTCTTTTTGCCTTATTATAAGGCTCAAAAAAATGCAGCTTTCATTTGATTGTAAGACAGATATGTGAAAGCTCTTCTAACTACACTACTGTACTCTGATAAATTTGCTGCCCAAATCCTTCCAAGTATGGCCTTTTAAGGCAATTCCCCGCTTCATAATATCAAGTTTTCTTCTCTGTCAATCAACACTAGTACCAGCAGGCTCAACTAGTCATGACCTCCCCTCATAGCAAACACATGCTGCTCACCAGCTGTGGGCTGTGTATTTTTACACCCTTTCCCCTATCATTCAGAGTGGTTTCCTCTTAATCACAATAATCCTAAAAGTGCTAAAACATATCAATCGTCCTTTAAGCCCTGCCTACAAAAGGCCAGCCATCCTGCCTTTATGGGCTTGTCCTGCAGCAGCTGATACTTCATTCAGCTGTAAATCCAATTTAGCAGCTACAAGAGGTTTAACATCCCTGGAAAAATATTGGGTGTTGATCCTGCATAGTTCAATCAGCAATATTCTTCTAACATATTGTTTTGGATTTTCTGCCATATTTGCACTACTGCTGGAGTTCCCTACATGATCTCAAAGGTATTACAGTTTGTCCTGACTACACAGGTTGTTTTTTTTTGTTTTTAATCATTGTGGAGTATGACAATATTATGAAAACATTCATAAGTCAAGTGTTACAGATGTAAATACACTAAAAGACAAGAAATGC